AAGTTGGCAATGATTCTACCCATCTGTAGACCCTGCGTGTGACAACTTGCCTGGCAAGATATTCTCTGTGTGTTGACTCTTATAGGAACAATGAAATCTGTGATTTGATTTTAGGTCTACCACACAGTAGGGAACTCTTGGCTGGTTCTGTAAACTTGGTTAAGAGCCCAATGACTGAGGCCATGGTGATGTAATATGACAATATGTCTTATTCTAGAGACTGAAACATTTGCTTGACATCACAGCCAGAGTTCATAACATATCTTGAGGTCACTTAAGACATAAGGCTGCTATCCTACTGTGTACTCAAATTGATTGTTTAGCCAACTTTTAAGAGAAAAATGTAACAATTACGACCACTTTCCTTGGTCTTTATAATAGCTGCCTCTTACAAACTAAACTAATACTTAATTGTAATGTTAAATTATGTCTTTTTTTTTTTGCTCTGATTGGTATTTTATTTCTCCTTTACAGGTTCCACATAATAGACAAAGGTTTTTTGATAACATATTGTTATCTTTGCTGGAGATGATCATATGATCATTCTAAACAACACAAATGTGTACATACAAGAGACTGAGGTTTCTGCAGCCTATAAACACCTCTTTGGGTTTAAAAAGGAAAAAAAGCAATATATGACAATTCAACCGCAACTCTCAGAAAAACACGTTTCCTGACCAAACATGAGCGCCCTGTACATGGACCTATCATCAAAGACAGCAAGGTGCCGGGGGAAGCCAAGAGCAGCTCCTCACACCAGCTCAGAAGACCCTCCCCATCCAGTACCTCCTCAAGGTGCTCCATCTTCATCACAGGAAGATAGCGGTCACCCCAAAAGAAGACAGGAGCAGCAAATAAACATTGTTGTAAAATCTGAGTGTCTTCCACAGTATTTCACACCAGCATCTCAGGAACTCCATGCAAGCATGCGTACCATTTTCTAGATTGCTCCCTTCATTTCTCAAGAAAGGGAACCAGGTCTTCCTAACTGATTTTAGGTGCCTGGGAAAACTAAGTATTTCACCAGAAGGGATATAAGCAATGCTATTTGATAAAAGTAAGAATAAGGAGAAAGCAGCTATCTTAAAGAAAAGTGTGCTCTACTCACACTAAAGTATCAGACCAATGCACAACATACTGCAAAACTGTAATACAACACGGTCAAACACAATGGCAAATATGAAACTGTTCAAGCACATGAAGATCATCTTCGGAAAGACAAGCTGGGTTCTTATTTGTAGCTACCTTTGTGTAACTTTAAAAACTGTTGTCCCTCAACAAGGTCTGACACTGATCTTGATACTTGTTAGGAAGTTTGCTATGAGGCAATGGTGGCTCAACAGTCAGGTTCAGAGTTCGCCTGGTGCTCATCTTCAGAATTCATCCGAGGACTGGGCATCATCTTCATCCCTCACTTCTCGATATCTCCCTGAAGACTCCCCTTCTGGATTGTAGCTCTGCATTTTAATGTTCAGTCTCTCAGCTAGTTTCTGTGCTGCGAGCTTTGCCTGCATCTCCTCGTAATTTTGCTTCTGTTCTTTCTGCAGAGCCAGTGACTCTTCTATGGAGAGCAGCTGTGCAGGTAGGTGGTGGAGCGGAAGGAGGCGTGCTGCTGTGATGTCATCAAGATGCTGCCTAGCCCTGCGTCGCTGCTCTTCTGAAGAAGGAGATTCACCCCTCTGACAATGACTTGGTGAGTCACTCTGTTGAGTGGGTAATACATTGGTCTTAAACTTATGAGGAGGGGGCACTGGGTTTTTGGCTCGCATTTCTAGCACTTCCATGTAATGAGGCCTCTTAGGAGTCTCTCTCTGGAGCCCTGGCACGTTCTCAGTGCTGGTGTTTTCTTCTGCGGGCTCACTCTGGTCTGCAATTGTGATCTTTTGCAACTTAGTGAGAAACAGACTGTCAATGCCGCTGGAAATGTCTTCCGCTTGACTTGAAACAGGGCGCTGGGGGAGATGTTCGTTAACTTCAGATGAGGGTGCCCTGGCTTTGCTGCCGGGAGCTGCACCCGGGTTCACTGTGCAGCCAGCCTCCAAAGTCTCTTCGTTGCCTCTGGGAGTGAGATGTGCAGGTCCTTGTGTTTCTGAGGTTGTTCTGAATGATTTGTCAGGAACTAATGATGAAGTATCAAGCATCAGGTCAGAATTCTGGGCCTTGTCTACGTCGGTATCGACTCTTGTGGCTGCTTTTTGCCTTAGCTTACAGTCTACACTAACAGGATGAAACAGTTCACTTCTTGCTCTAACCTCTTCGTGTTCTGCAATGGCAGCTTTCAGTTTGGCGATGGTGTCTGAGATCTTTTTACCTTTGTCGGGCAATTTGCAAATGAATTTTTCGTTGCGCAAAAGTCTCTCCTGGCGCTTCAACCTCTCCCGCAGCTCCGCCGAACTCCGCTGCCCCAAGTCCTCGGGAGCTGGGGGCTCGAAGCCGCGGGGCAGCGAGAACATTGTGCACGGGCTGCGGCTGGCGCGGCGGGCAGGGTTCCCCGGCGAGGCCCACAGCGGGCGCAGGCTCCGCGGCCTGTGGCGACTCTGGTGCGGGAGCGGGAGTCGCCATTTTCCCGGAAGAGCGCGGCTTCTTCCAGCCGAACGGAGTTTTCTGGAAATCAATTATGTCTTTTTCTGTGCCCCTGATCCAGAACAATTCATGTTTATCATTTGTATAAAAGAGCAAACATAGAGGTTGAAAACACTTCTAAATGAGTATCCACCAAAACAGTTGGGCACAGCAGCATTACTGGGCAATCATGGTATTTGTAATTTCTTTTTAAGGCTGGGTAAATTGGGTTCAGTTGTGCTCACTACCTTAATCCCTTGTAAGACTCCATGAATGATTTCTGTAAAGTACCCCACTCCTTCCCCAGGTGATTCTTATGGGGAAATTCAATAAAAGAGAGAGCAAGAAAAGGGGCAGACACACAAATTCACACATAGGGACACATGTAGGGACAGACAGACATAGGGACACATGTAGGGACAGACAGACATAGGGACAGACAAAGACTCAGACAGACAGACAGACACACACACACACACACACAACCAGACAAAGGGACAGGCACACTTCTTCAGAAAGGCACAGATTTGGAGGGAAGACAGGGAACATGGAGAAAATTCAAACCTGGAAATGACTCCCAGTGGAAGTGCTTTTATTTCTTTACTGCCATGCTGATGCAGTATTGGTGACTCTGAGTTAATCACTGATGTGATGAATCCACACAATAGGCCCTCTGTTGTTGATTTGTTAAAATTACATGGCATCAAACTGCCTTCTACGTACTCTCCCTGACACCTATACATTTGAGCAACTGGGATCCCTAATGAGAGAGACTTCTTTAGGAAGTGGGCTCTGCTGACTGCACAGACTCACACCTGGCCAAAGTTTAGAGAATACATAACTGTGCAGTTCTCAGACCTCAGCAGGACACCTGAACCACAACACGCTGCAAGGCTCAGGGACAATTTTGGAAGTGAGAGGCAGAGGTTGAAGATTGTTTCTGTGAAATGGTGTCCAGGACACAATGATAATCACACACAGGAAGGGGCTCATAAGGCCCCACCTTCAGTGAGGGACTTTGCTCACTTAATATGTGCTGGGTGATGGAATGTCATAAAAAGTAAAGAGGGAATGCAGGTAAGCAGCCACAGTTTAAATCTATGGATGTTAAGGCCAATAGAGTAGTTCGAGTGGTGTTTTCACTCATGTGAGAGCAGTGTGAGAAGGGAAACCTCAACATGACTTGTCTGTGCCTTGGAAAATCCACTAAAATTCATTGAACTCCAGTTTCCAAAACTGCAATTGCAGGCCCAGATACCCAGAAATGGGCTCAACCTGGACTTTTGGAGGCTTTCTGGAGGGTAGATAAATCCAACATTCCTTAAAAACTTGTGAAGCTACTTCCTCTTCTCAAAGGGGTCATTTCTCTTCTCACTGGCAGTAGGAAAAGTTGACTATCTGTGGTGGCTATTACTATAACAAGGTACAGACTAGCCTCCAGGTCCTTCAGTAGCACCAGTACCCACTGTGCATGTCAGAGTCCATGCTCGTGTTCTAGGTCTTCTACCCTGCTCCCCTACCCTAAACTCCCTCTAGTTCGGAAGCATCCCTCTCCCAGCTTCTCATTCTCTTTCTAAACCTATCTCTCTGTCTCCCCCTGTCTCTATGTTCCTCTCCCTCTCTCTGTGTCTCCTCTTCTGTCTCTCTCCATCTGCCTCTCTGCTCTGTTTCTGCTTCTATCATAGGCAGGTGCAGTTGACTATGTTCAGCCAACATCTATTTCTGCTCTGAGTGATTTGATGTGCCACTGTCTGTTCTATCTCTGATAGCTATAATAGAAGCTTTCTCCTTAAACATGTCACCAAGAGGTCATGCCATCAGCTTGTACAATACAAAGAAATAGTTTAAAATATTTTCATAGTATATTTTAATGAAAAGCTACTAAAAACTTATATACAAAATTCAATATATACTGTATCAATTTTCAGAGAAATATTTAACATTATAATTTCTATTTTTTTCTGAGAGTAAGTACAGATTTTATTTATTATTATTATTAAAATTTTTCACCTCCTCCCATTTTCTTCCCCTTCCCCTCATTCCCCCTCCTCCTCCCTCTCCAGTCCAAAGAGCAGTCAGGGTTCCCTGCCCTGTGGGAAGTCCAAGGTCCTCCCTCCTCCATCCAGGTCTAGGAAGGTGAGCATCCAAACAGACTAGGTTCCCACAAAGCCAGTACATGCAGTAGAATCAAAACCCAGTGCCATTGTCCTTGGCTTCTCAGTCAGCCCTCCTTGTCAGCCATGTTCAGAGAGTCCGGTTTGATCACATGCTCCATCAGTCCCAGTCCAGCTGGACTTGGTGAGTTCCCCTTAGATCAGCCCCACCGTCACAGTGGGTGGGTGTACCCCTTGCGGTCCTGACTTTCTTGTTCATGTTCTCTCTCCTCAGCGGTAAAAAACAACGACATCTTGAATTTTGCATGCAAATGGATGGAAATAGAACACACTATCCTGAGTGAGGTAACCCAGACCCCAAAAGATGAATATGGTATGTACTCACTCATTAGTGGATTCTAGCCATAAATAAAGGACATTGAACCTATACTTCGTGATCCTAGAGAAGCTAAATAGGAAGGTGAACCCAAAGAAAAACATATAGTTATCCTCCTGGATATTGGAAGTAGACAAGATAGCCAGGCAAAAATTGGGAGCTTGGGGGATGGGTGAGGTGGAGAGGGGGAGAGAGAAGTGAGAAGGGAAGGATGGGGAGAGTTTGGGGGAATGGGATGGTGGGGATGGAGGAAGAGTGGATATGGGAGCAGGGAAGTATATATCTTAATTAAGGGAGCCATTTTAGGGTTGGCAAGAGACTGGAATCTAGAGAGGTTCCCAGGTGTCCAAGGAGATGTCCCCAGCTTGTTCCTTGAGCAGCTGAGGAGAGGACGCCTGAACTGTCCCACACTTATAAATATCTTGCATATCACCATAGAACCTTCATCTGGCAATGGATGGAGATAGAGACAGAGACCCACATTGGAGCACTGGACTGAGCTCCCAAGGTCCAATTGAGGAAAATTTCTAAATTCTATAAAATATTTCTGACAGATTGTCACTTGAAAGCCAATGTAATAATATCATAACAACATCATTTTTAAAGGTGTCTTATATCTTTAATCTTTCAAAATAATGTACAACAGGTTAATAGGTTTTTTTTTAGAATACCAAAAAGGAGGTGGACTAAGAAGGAACTAGATTACATATATATATATATATATATATGAAGGAACCAGAAATACATTATAATTTATTTTTTATATATTTTTATAGTATTCTTTCATCCCCTGCAGTACATTCCACATGCTTCCTCAAAAAGAGTTTTAAAATCATGCATTCTGAAAATATTGAGCTCATTTAAAAGACCAGGTATTTTAATTGTACATATATAAATATATAAACCCCCACACACATAAGCCATGTTGATTCTTATATTCTAGCCCTAGCCTCTTAGCCTCAACAACTCTCAGTGGAATTTTTCATTCCTGAATGTTGAACAATAGGGTGCCAAGGAACCCATACATATCTATATTTGTATTCATAAAGATGTGGCAAACTCAGCATCTAATATTTGTCATCTTTTGTTACAAATGAACAACTCTACTCCTTTTCTGGAAATCTCATGAAATTCATTCTAGGCAGAAATTGATTTCAATATTTTATCGGATGGCAGAATAATGAATTTATTGACCTCTTGGAAATACTTTTGACCCTTTGCTCCTTTCAACTCTCCATTACAGTTCCTTAACCTCCTTAGAATTCCGCACAACTAGGAGGCTTCTGATCAAGGAGTAAGAAAGTCCAAGTAGCAAAGTGTTTTTGTTTATCTTTCAGAATTTATCAGTGTATTCCACTAGATAAAGTCAAATTCCTATTGACTTGTGTATCCCCTTGAGTTGTGTTCTTTCTCTGGGGATGCATGTACAGTACATGTTTAAATAGGTGAATGAAAGTTTAGCAAGCTTTACATGTACTGAAAGCATAATAAGGTCTATAGAATTAGATAAGAGTTAATGTTTTAAACTGGCCAGTAATTCAAGGAACAAAACACTATATGTAATTTATCTGCAAAACTGGTGAAAGATGGATGTTATGTCTCCCTCCCTTTTTTAATAACTCACTTAGTCCAACTGATAATGTCCACATGCACTTGGCTGTGGGGGATCCTACTGGAAGTCTTACTCCTTAAGATAAATGACACAAAAATGGGATGAGGACAAGTTAGGGGATGGGATGGAGGCAGAGGACAGGGATGGGGAAGATATGAGCAACATGGATGATCTGAATTACATACATTAAAATGTCAAAGAGTAAACTGAAAATATTCTTCAAACAATAAAATGAAAAAAAAAAACCTCAAAAAATATTTCTGACACTTGACAACAGGAGCTCTTCATAGGTTGTTCAGCAGAAACTAAAAAGAAAAGCAAGAATTATCAGTAGTATCAAGAACATCATTGGTAGCATCGTCAAGATAAGCAATAACAGAGGCATCACCCATAGAATCCTATGTAGTGTCATGTCACAATGAGTATCATTGTATTTGAGAATGGTGAGAATGTGGAGTCTTGTTTCACTGGTTTTATTCTCAGAGGTTGTTTCTTTTGGGGTGTTTGTTTCCAAAATAATGCTGTCCACATAAGTCACAGTGTATGGACACAGAAAAATAACAACTAATATCTAACAGTTACATTTCCCTGCTTCGCCATTCAGAAAATACAAGTTTCACATTAAGAGTGAAAATCATTTCCTCATTCCAGCATGGGAGGCAACTGTGTGCTTACCAACTTTACTTGGTCAGTTTGGTTGGACTAAACTGATTGTGTTAATTTTATGTGATGCATTTTCAATATGACTAGAAAAGATAATCATTTTTTTCTAGTTATAGGTAATATCTAAAGAGTCCTATACAAAGTATGAAATTTATTTATCATCATGCATATTAGAGCCAAAGAGAATTGGATTTCCCGCACAGAAATATTTATCTATTTTAAGCCATTGGTGTGGTCTAACTTACCTTGTTAAGCTCCTTTAACTTTAACTGTGCAGGATTTCTAAATTAGGTTCCATACCCACGGCATCGTCAAAGCCACCAACTGCAGCAACCACATTGACGATGTTAGGAGGAGCAAGGATGTGGTTGCTGCCCAAATTGGAAAAACCATGACGGGAGTATTCGCTGCATAGCTGGTGCCGTGAGCAGGACGTGAAGCAAGAACCCGCATATGAGCATTCTGAGGGTCCAACGTGTCACCTGGGATACAAACAAGAGCAGATTTCTGGTCAGTAGTGAAGCTAAGACACTGTGTTCTCTTCTAAGCAGGTATCAAGAACAGGGTCAGAATGTTGCACAGGGTCCATGGTGTCACCAGTGTGGCTACCAGGAGCAAGGTCAGGGACAGCATGTGTTCTCCCCCTTGCATGCCCAGTATAAGTACCTAGAGGAGGTGTGTGATCCACGCTGGTGTTGTTAACAGTAGTTTCCTCAGATGATGGAATATTGTAACCTCTTTCACTAACGCTGATGGTGTTAACAGTAGTTTTTTCAGATGACCGACGATTGTCACCTCTTTCACTAACGCTGGTGTTGTTTACAGTAGTTTCCTTAGATGACGATGACTGAAGATTGTCACCTCTTTCACTAACGCTGGTGGTGTTAACAGTAGTTTCCTCGGATGACTGACGATTGTCACCTGTTTCACTAACATGAGAAGTTGATGTGGCATCGGCATGGGCAGGAGGCTGGGGCACGATGTCATGCATATTAGGTGGAGGAAGGAAATCTTCTCCCTTCTTTGTTTCAACCTTTAAGGAAATTTTGAGATGTTAGATTTCATTGAAAATCTCACTTATTTTTGTTCATTTTAGAACTTATCTGTTAATGTCAGGGTCTTGATTTAGAGTCCCCAAATGTTTGTTTTCTCAGGCTAATTTTATCACATAACCGCTGATATCCTGAAACTTTTGCTTCCATTGGTTTAGTCAAAGGCCCAGAGTTTGAGAATCTTAAAAGGGGATCTATTCAGCTTTATGCCTTCTTTTCTACTGTTCTTTGCTACCGCTCTATAAAAGAAAGATGGAAAAAAAGACACAATGTGTCCTCTCCTGTCTTTATGACAAGGATTTTACATTCCATCCAGATTAAGAGAATGTGACAATCGGGGGCTTCGGAAACAAAAAGAACCTCGCTCTTCTGCACCACACTACTGCTTTCCCCATGGCTTTCACAATTGCCCATTAGGTTCCCGGGATAACAGAATAGTGAGGGTGACTTTTGAAATGCATGAATAAAGTGTGCCACTTCCCACAGCACATGGAAACTATGGGGCTGAAGGAAGGGTTCTGGGAGATGCCATCCAAACTCTTACTCCTTAGCTATGACTGTTTTTATATATGGCTGATGAATGCGATGGCCTGTTCCAGCATCTCTGTGGTGGCTTGAATGAGAACAGACTCATGGGCTCGTATATTTGAATGTTGGTTTCCAGGTAGTGGAACTATTTGGGGGGAAGGATAGGTGGTGTGGCCTTGTTGGAGGAGTTGTGTGGTCTTGGGTTTCAGAAGACTGGTGCCATTTCTAGTGAGCTCTTGGTTCCTTGTATAGATTTAAATGTAACTCTCAGCTGCTGCTACAGCACCATGCCTGCCGGCCTCAATCACGGTGGTGATGAAATTGTATGTATCCCATTGGAACCATGTGCCTTACTAGACCTGCATGGAGGTGGGTGGTCCTTGGACTTCCCACAGGGCAGGGAACCCTGATTGCTCTTCGGACAGACGAGAGAGGGGGACTTGACTGGGGGAGGGGGAGGGAAATGGGAGGCGGTGGCGGGGAGGAGGCAGAAATCTTTAATTAATAAATAAATAAATATATTTAGGAAGTGCCAGTTTTGAAAATGCATTTGATGCTGTTTGTCAGAAGGAGAGCCTCCCCAACTTTTATTCCAATTACAAATAATGATGCTAGGCCTTAATCATTCATGACATCTCAGGGAGACTCCTAACTTAGCAGTCTATGTTTACCTTTCTGTACCAGGTTTGAGGAGGATTTGTGCTACTTATGTGAAATACTCAAACGTTCCAGAGCTTACTCAACATGATCAAACAATGTAACGTGGAGATGGTAAACAAAATAGCTTGAGAAGCATTGTTTGTAAAGGAAAACAGATGAGGAAGTAACATACTACATGTGTGTCCGAACTGCTCAAGGGCATCATGTGAAAATGTTCAGTGCATTTGGTTTCCTTGAGAATGATGAGCGTGAACACATCAAAGCTAGAGATTTGTGAGCCTTAGACACATTTTCACACGCCATATGTTTCACTCATTGCTTCATCATTAACTAAATATGCTTATGCCAGTTATAAAAAGGGAATGAAAGGGCCACATGGTACAAGTATAGTTTTCCAGGACACATGTCACATGGAAGTTAGAAACACTGAAGATGACAGAGAAGACCCTGAAAATATTTTCCTTATATGTTAGTTACACAACAGGAGTGCCAATGAATATATAGATACCATTTATTATCTGAATAATCAATATTGTATTATCCTAAAATTACTATTGGAGTGTGTGTTTGCTTGTGTGCTTGAATTAATATGCCTGTTTGTGCTATGCTAGTGCGTGTGTGTATACGTGCATGCATACATGTGTGCGTGCACGTGTGTGTGTGTGTGTGTGTGTGTGTGTGTGTGTGTGTGTGTGTGTGTGAAGGGCATAGGATAACTTTCAGGAGGCAGCTCTCTGCTTTCACTGGGTGAGACAGGGTCTCGCAATGTTTCTGTGCTAAGATCTCATTTCTATTAGTGATATTGTGGTTTGTATATTGTGGTTTGTATTCTAATCCTTTGCATATCCAAGATGTTGGTCCCTTCACGCCAAGGGGAACACTCCATGGTTGCCACACTCATCACATTACCATTTACTTTCTGTATCAAACTAAAATTTTGACATTAGTCTAAAATTTGCATTTGTATTAATCATGTCAATTTATATGCTAATGATTTTTCACTGAAATCTTGGAAGATGTCTGGCAACTGAATGTCTGTTTATTAAAATCACTTGAGATCTGTCTCCCTGCTAAGACCTCCCTTGACCAATGACTCACTTTGATCATACATAATAGCTAATATTAATTCAGAAACCAAGTTGGATTAGGCTTAAAAGAAAGAGCATTTGAGTTTGGTTCTGACAATATTAAAATTACAGTTACTAATGGTTTTATTAAGTGTCATAATTATGTCAAGTCTGCCCCTGTCTCTCCTAATGTTGAATTTAGATGGTTCAAGGTAACTAGCTAGTTGTTAGCCATTTGTAATGTTAAGTAGGGTATACAAACAGAGCGAGCTCTTCTGTTTGCTTTATACCTTCTGAAGGGTTAAAACACAAAAGAAAATTGTCCATTTCCTTTACATTTTTCACTTTTCTCAAATACAGATTTTTGAAATATGACCTGATAATTCTCTGGATTTCCTCAGTGTCTGATGTTATGTCCCCCTTTTCATTTCTGATTTTGTTAATATGGATTTTGTCTCTCTTTCTTTTGATTAGTTTGAATAAGGGTTTGTCTATCTTGCTGATTTTCTCAAAAACCCATTTCTTTGTCCCAATGACTCTTTGTTTCATTTACTTTGTTTCTATTTTATTGATTTTAGTCCTCAAATTGATAATTTCCTGGTATCCACTCCTCCTGGGTGAGACTCCCTTTTTTGTTCTAGAGCTTTCAGGTGTGTTGTTAAGATGCTAGGGTGAGATTTCTCCAGGTTCTTTATGTAGGCACTTAGTGCTATGAATTTTCCTGTTAGTAATGCTTTCAAAGTATCCCAAAGATTTGGGTATGTCATGCATTCATTTTCATTAAATTCTAGGAAGGCTTCCTTTATTTTTCCTTGATCCAGGGGTAATTCTGTTGAGAATTGTTCAGTTTCCATGAATACGTAGAATTTTTGCAATTAGTCTTGTTGAATTCTAACTTTAACCCATAGGTGATCCAATAAGACACGGGGTTATTTCCACTTTTTTTAATCTGTTGAGATTTGCTTTGTGATCAAATATGAGGTTGATTATAGAAAAAAAAAACCCCTGCAGAAACAGCTGACCCAAGGTTGTGGGAGCTCACTGGCTCCTGACTGACAACTAGGGAACTGGCACAGGACCAAACTAGGCCCTCTGAATGTGGGTGACAGTCATATGGTTTGGTCAGTTTTGTTAGTCCACTGGCAGTGGGTCCAGTATTTATTTACCCCTAGTATGTGAACTGGCTTTTTGGAACCCATTCCCTATGGAGGGATACTCTACTCAGCCTAGATACAGGGAGGATAGCCTTAATCCTGCCTCAAGGAATATGACAGACTTTGTTGACTCCCCGTGGGAGACCTTATCCTCTATGAGGAATGAATGGGGAGTGGGGTAGTGTGGAGTGGGGTGGTGGGGTGTTGGGAGAGCAGGCAGAAGGGAGGGAGAGGGAATTGGGGTTGGTATGTAAAATAAAAAAGATTGTCTTAAAGAATAAAAAAAAGTAAAATAAATAAATAAAAACATGATACAAAGAATCAGAGTGTATATTATTGTCAAGTACAGAGCAAATATCCAGAAACCAAAGTATTACTATATGGTAATTGAATCTTCACATCTACAATTGCTGGCTAATTGGGGAAAAATACTTACTGTGCACCTGGAGGAAGAGTTGTCAATATCCTCCTAGTGGAATCAAATAGAAAACAGTCTGTAATCTCTTCATAATGAAAACTTGGTTGAACAGATTACAAATATCTAAATTTCCAAAATTTCTTGCTAATATAAACACAGAAGAAAAGAGACAAACGGAGGAGATGCTTTTATCTGTGATCCTGAAATAGGACTATCCAAGGGAAGAGACAACCTACCTGCAATTATGCTGAGAGAAAAGGCACCTGGGTGATGCCTGGACCACTACAATAACCGGACCCTCTAAAATGTATTCAGATGTATCATCACAGTTGTTTTAAAAATCAGTCTAATGTGTATCTATTTCTGCAAACCATCCTTGATCAAGCACCAGGCATCTTCTAATATATGAGAACTGCACTCAATCTTCCACTCCCTGTGTTTCCAGTTCATTCTCCTATTGAGCCACCGCTATCTGCAAGGACTTACTGCTCACTGGAATTTATAGAAAGGATGGTTCACTGATACCAAACACTTTTCTCTGACCAAATTTCCATATAAAACTGTGATAGGTAGAGTACTGCTGCATTTTAACAAAATTCATAAGGAAACAAATTTCACAAAGGAGAATTTT